ATATATATATATATATATATATATATATATATATATATATATATAATCATAGATTCATTACCTCAGTAAAAAAAATTTCTTGACTTACAATGATTAACCCAATGCGCAACAGGCGGAGTTATTCACGTAGCTACGATGATACTGTACATTACAAACATAAAATTCAAATTAAAGAAGCGTTTAAAATGATCAATATTTTAAAAGATAATTCTTACACGCCTCTAATTTGTCTTTCAATAAAATATTTAGCAATACAATTATCTATTTACGGAAAAAGATCTTTACAAAAGTAAAATTTTACATAATTTCTCTTTTTCTAATTATTTTTAACTTATCGAGATAAAACAATCTAAATAAATGGAAAAGAATTGTTATGCAGATAAGAGATGATACTCACCCCAAGGTTGCTCCACCGGTGCCCGATGTCTCTCTCAGACCTCCTCCTCTCACCGCACAGAACACTCGCGAGAAACACTCGCGGATAATAAACTACAATCGCGCGCGGACTAATTTCAGTAAAAGTCTTTCTCGCGCGATACTGTACGGCACTCCCGTTTAAAAAAGTCCTTTAGTCTGATTATTTGAACGGCACTCCCGAAGCAAACGCTGACATATGGCGGGACGAGCGACTATCACCCGCGATTATCACAGCAAAACTGCAAATCGTTCACAATTGTCATACGTACCTTCGCTTCGACGTCTCGAGTGAGCGATTCGCGTTCATTCCGACAAATACCGCATACGCTCGTAAATTGTTGAACATACACGACGACGGAGCGTACTCGCGTAGCGATTATTCCCGCGGCTCTGGCCCGCGAAATGAGGAAGCAGAAATGTTAATCACCGAAACGAGCGCGTTCCGAAAACAGCACGAAACACGGTGACGGACGCGCGCGGAGCACAAGACTTCCTACCTGTACGAAATTCCTCGGGAGAATGATGACCTTTTTCATGCTGACGCTCGACGCTTGATTTGGGAGTCAAAACTGGTCACGTGACCAACTTTATCGGTAGAAGGCGAAATAGCATCAAATATGTGAGCGTCAACGTTTATTTGAGCATCAATTAAGGACATTACATTCAAAATTCTTGATTATGTCTACAGTTGTCCGTACGCGGTCCATTTTATCTTTTGGGTTGATAGGAAGAGCGAATCTATCACCTAAACTCAGAAATTTCATAACCCTGGCAATAATTTTATACCGTTAATAAATAAAAATAAAAATTCTTATTTCTCTGGGATTCTCTGGGAGGAAGATCTCTGGGATTAACTTTTTTATATATATCTAATGTGAAATCATTTCATTGAATGTAAATAATTGATGATACGTATTGTTAAAAATAAATAATATAGTATAACTTATTATTTATAACGTTAATAAATAAAAATAAAAATTCTTATTTTTCTGGGATTCTCTGGGGGGAAGATCTCTAGGATTAGCTTTTTTATATATATTTAATGTGAAATCATTTCATTGAATGTAAATAATTGATAATATGTATTGTTAAAAATAAATAATATAGTATAACTTATCAAATAAAAATTTTCATTTTTATTTATTAACGGTATAAAATTATTGCCAATAGTACAGAAACATTATATTTTTTTATTTCTATGAATTTTTGCGTGAAAAAAAATTTTTAACGTCAATTCAAAAATTTTTAATGTCCTTTATTTTTTGAAGTAATGCATTTCTTAATTTTTTAAATATTTGTGTAAGTAAGTTGTTTTTTCAGTTGAAAAATTATTTTCTATATATTTCTCTAGCAGTATAAAAGTTTTAATGCGTTCAAACGCAAGATTTTGAAAAAAAAATTAGTTATACTCCTTTACACTCAGGAATTTTTTCATTTTTTTTGAAGTAGTGGAACATTATGAAAAAAATAAATTCATAATGTTCCACCACTTCAAAAAAAATGAAAAAATTCCTGAGTGTAAAGGAGTATAGAAGACATTTTCTGACAAAGTTTGGCGGTGGACACTTTTAAATAACACGGTAAAAAAATGATTATAGTTTTATTTCTGTTCTTAAAAATCGGCTTTCCACCTGAGATTCATAATGAAAGTGTTTTTTCATCCCTTTTACTTCTAAGAATTAGAAAAAAAATCACCATTTATTAATTTTAAATTTTACTATTAAAAAAAAAGAAAATAAAAAAAGTGGTTTTTTTTTATCTCGAAAATCGTTTGAGTCAATCGCTCGCCACACTCCGCGATGGAAGCAAGCTACGCGGCGCGGCAATCAATCGAGATAGCCAATCGGCATCGCGGAAAAGGTGGCTTCAATTTTACGATACAAACGAAATTCACTCAGGTAACACGCCTTTTTTAAAAGTGGATTTTTCCAAAAATCAGATTTTCTTTAAACTATTAATATAAATATATATGGATTTTCAGTTAAATTTATTTTCTATACGTTTAATAAACTATATAGATACTAAATTGATTTAAACATTTTTGGAAAGCGCGCCATAGGTGTCCTGAACAATATGGCGGACGGTCGACGGTGTCCAATCTCACTTGATAGCGTTTTTCATTGGCAGAACTGGTGCGCACTCAGTGCACATTAAGGCCGTTGTACACTGATTTAATCTCTAATATTTAAAGTAAAATGCAAATATTTTGACTGATAAAATACCCAGTACATATTTTACCAAATAGTGCAATAAAGAATATTGAGGATTTCATGATTTAACCCGTTTATATTAAACATACACATTACGTTGATTTGTGTACAACGGCTTTAATGTGCACTGAGTGCGCACCAGTTCTGCCAAAGAAAAACGCTATGAGGATCTCTACCCTCTGCTCATACGCGCTCGTATCTCGTATCTCGTATATGTAGTATGCATATGCATGTATGTACATACGTGACAGCGCGAGTGGTGCATGTTCTCGATCTTGGATCCACCTCCGAAGAGTTTGACAGATGATCGACCGTCAGCGTTTGGCGAGTACGACAAAGTGAGGAGCGACGAAAGCGCTAAGCCGACATGGAGGCAGTGCCGAGGTTGCCGATGATATGGTTTCAGCTGAAAGTCAGTCCGGAGCCGACCACTTTTGGGCCGAAGCTCAAACAGGTACGAACCCTCACGCCAGTCTATCTCTTTTCTTTCCCCTTTATATCTAATTAGTTCAGCCTGCATTTCGCGACACGTCGCAAATCCGCCGTTTTTGCACGGGATGTCGAAGTGACAAGAGCAATTACTTGACACTACAGTCGTCTCTCGGACGTCTCTGCGTCCCTTTTGCTTTCCCTGTACATCATCTACTTTGTTTTTTTTTTTTTTTTTTTTTTTTTTTTTTCTTACAGTACATACAAGATTTTTACAACGAGGACCCTGAGTCGTACACCAATGAGATACATCAATTGGAGAGTTTACGCTCGATGGCGGTTAGACCACCAGGCGACATGGCTGGATGCGCGCTACTGAAGAAGTATTATTGCCAGTTGCATTTTCTTCAAAGCAGATTTCCCATGCACAAGGATGGCCCTGCGGCAGTCACGTTTACATGGTATGAAATCCTATATTTTCCATTATACCCTGTACATACTTAATTATTTAATATTTATAATCTAATTGTACATGAATTTGTATCTGTTCCTGTTAAATCATACAATGCTTTATTTTTTAGGAGAGATGCCTATGCAAGTCTGGTGTGTTCATTGAGTAGCATCCGTTTCGAGATAATATCGATTTTATACAATATTGGAGCAATGCACACCCAGCTGGGCGCGCGGACCGAAAGAAACAGTGCGGATGGAATGAAGATGGCGTGTACTCATTTCCAATGCGCGGCGTGGGCTTTCGAACACCTGAAGAACAGTTTTCCCCAGCCGTCTGGTATTGACCTGTCGCCGGAATTAATGACCTTTATGCTTCAGCTTTCCTTAGCGCAAGCTCAAGAATGCATATTGGAAAAGAGCATGCTGGATAATCGTAAGCCGACAATTGTAGGTATGTTTCATCAGCTATCAGTTTCATATCGATTGTTATAGTAACTGTGGTTTAGTTCTGTCCATCATTGTGTACAAGATGTTTGTGTTACGCAGCAAAAGTTGCAAAGCAAATAGTAGATTACTTTACTATGGCCCTAACCACGTTGGACCAAGGCGGAGCTGAAGATGGAACTATATCCGATACTGTGGGTAACAAAATTTATAAGGTGAGTTGAATTATAGTTTACGTACTTCAATTAGTTTACATATTCTTGTGAGCCTGAAATATTACTTTTTTTTGAGCTCGGTAAAATTATAAGTCAAATAATCTAAACTTTTGCAGAGCTGGAAACGGTATGTCAAGTTTAAAAAAGCGTATCATATGGCCGTGACGTATCTTTATCAAGGCCTTGCTGCAGAGGAACAAAGGAAGATGGGAGAACGAGTAGCTTTTTATAATGCTGCGTTAGCATCCCTTAATGAAGCACACACGATCTACGATTTCGCAAACGTTAAGGAGGAAAAAGCTGCAGTGGAAGAGTCGCTCACGTTTACCAATGATGTAATCGAAGGGAAGAGAAAGGCCGCTAAAAATGAAAACGACTTTATTTATCACGAAGAAGTGCCTGAAAAAGAAAGCCTTCCTACAGTGAAAGGCGCGTCTTTAGTTAAAGGAATATCGTTTGATATAAATGACCCAGAGGTATCAGGACCAGATATATTTGCAAGGTAATTTTATTTTGTACTTAACACCTTTTTTTAACACAATTTAATTTTTTATTATTAAATTAAGATAATAGGTTAAAGATTTGATTATTAAATTAATATAAGTGACAAAATTATTATCTTCTTCCTGTTATAATTTTTTCCTTTTGTAGATTTTTTCCATTATTCATAACTTATTCCTTTTATATGAGTTTAATATGTATATGTTGTTTCACAGATTTGTTCCTATGAAAGTACACGAAGCTAATTCTCTTTATTCAGAGGAAAAAGCCAAAATATTGCGTTTTATTGGAGCAAAAATTGACGAAAAAGATCAATATCTTAATACTTATCTTACTTCCTTGAAGCTGGAACACATGAATTTATGGGATCCTGATGCACAAGGTTCAGAATGGGAATGCTTACCTCTGCCGGAAGAATTGCTCGAACGATGTGCTGCGCTTAATGCAAAACAGCATGTTATTCAAGATTTAGTAGATATTATGGGAAAATTATCTGAAACAAGCCAAGATGTTGAGAAAGTACTAAAGGAAATATCAAAATTTTTGTTGGACGAGGAACAAAAGTATGAGTTAATCATCTTTTACTTTTGTTAAAAGTTTTAAGCTTCTAATGTTATTAACTATTTCATAGTAGTTAGAAAATATCATTAACAAATTTAATTTTTTTGTAGGGAAAAGCAATATCAAGATGCAGTAGGCAAAAGACCACCATCGATAGTAGCAACAGATCTAACTAGAGAAGCTAAAAAATATGAGGAAGCTCACAATAAAGCTTCTGAGAGTAATCAAGCCCTCCATAAAGCAATAACAATGCATGTAAAGAATTTAAAAATTTTAGCGCAGCCAATAGCTGATTTAATGGCCCAAATTCCTTCACCAAACACATACTTTGCAGGTAATTTTCATATATATATATATATATATATATATATATATATATATATATATATACATATATATACGTAATTTTCTATGTAGAATAATATATATTATTAATATAATAACAATAAAATAATTATAATATTTTAAATAACTTATTGACTTTGAATTTAGTATGAATTTATTCTTTCAATGTTTTTAGATCAAGGTTCGGAAAAATCACAAACTAAAGAATTAGAGAAACTACATACTAAAGAGCTAAAACGTGTATTAAATAAAGTAGACGAGATGCGAATGCAGAGACTTGATTTGCTTACTAAATTACGGGATCAAATTGTCCAAGACGATTTAACACGTTTACTAGTCACAGCTACGTCTGAATCTGTCTCTCTAGATCGTTTGTTTACGGACCAGCTTAGCAAGCATCAAAGTTTGGTCAGTAAAATTTCACGCGAATAATTTCATATCTTTTAATATGTAACGATTGAATAAAAAAAAGCTTAATATCGGATTACAGGTGAACTTGATAGAACAAAATCTTGCTGCTCAAGATAATATATTGGCGGCTTTAACGGACGCATATGCACAGACTGCAAATGTACGTAAAAATGTAGAGGAAGTATTGAAGCGTAGAGAAATGACCATCTCTTCTTTAATCAATTCTTATGACGCGTACGAGGATTTGTTAGCGAAATCGAGCAAAGGCTTAGAATTCTACAGAAAATTAGAAATAAATGTCTCGAAGCTATTACAGCGAGTTAAAAGTACATGCAAGGTACAAGAAGAAGAACGCGAACAGATACTTGCTCAGGACAATAAAAACGCATATGAGAAGACCGACGTGGCAATACCGTCGACTTACGATCAGGGACGTCCTCGATCTGGTAATGGTCTGAAGCTAAAGGATTATTTGAACAGCAGAGTGGAAGGTGGCACCGGTTATCAAAATCCATATTACAACTTATACAAAGGGCACGTCGCATCGATGCAAATGGATTCGAAGTCATTGGCAACTGAAATGGGAAACAAAAATGTAATTCCATCTCCAAGTACGATACCCGTGTCGGAAATTTCGTCCTCGGCTGTGAAGTCGTCGCAACATTATTACCCCGCAACGTACGCTGATTATAGAACAAGCTCTCCATATCCGTACGGTACACAGACTTATTATGAAAATCCGGTTGCTAATAGCATCTTAAGTCAGAGCTACTTGCCGACCGCTACGAATACTACGAACGTTTATCAGCAACCAGCTCTATCCACGCCAACTGCGGACGTATCTAATTCGAGTGTACAATATCCTGTCAGTTCCTATCTACCTAACGGGCAAGCTCTGCCCGCATCCGGACAAGATAAATTCCGCGACATCTCTTCTAACTACAATGTTTCTAATACTGCTTTGCAGTATGACGCTTATCAGTCTCCAACGGGTTATAATAGTTATAACATTGCAACGCCGTATGTTCCCAATCAAGAGAAAGTTAAAAGCGGAACAGCTGAGACATCCATGCACGTCCAGCCAGTACCGCAAATGCCCGTCTCGACGATTGGAGCCGCAGCAGTGAGCAGCACCGTGTCGACAGATGGTCAAGGGCAAGCTTCTTACAGCATTATGCAACAAGCTCAGCAATATGATAATCCACAGCAGACGACTTTAAATCAAGAGATGTTTCACGGTGGTCAGAACGCTGCTGGTTCTCAGCAAACGATGCCAGCAAAGGACAATACATTGACGCAAAACTATTCACTCCCTCAGACTGCTCACACCGAAATCGCATATCCGCAAACCTATCAGAATACCACGTATTACAATCCGGCGGAACTACAAGCCCAGCGAGTCCCGTATACTCAAGGCACGTACGACACAGCTGTCGTTCCTCCGACTCAATATATGCAATCGCAGCAACCGAGTGCGAGCAATCAGTCTGTACATTCTGTATCGTCAACAAACGAAGTCCCGGTGTCGTACTCTTCGAGTTTACATGGCGTTAATCCTGTCCAGTATCCGCAGCAAGCCGGTACAGAACCGAGTAAACAGAATTACACGGATAAAACGTATGCCGCGTACGGCACGCAGATGCCGATGAACGCCGTCGCTTCGAATTATCCAAGTAATTATCAGAATTATCAGCATGGCGCTACTGGTGCGCCGTACGAACAGACCAGCATACTACCCGGAGATACGTCCAGCACGTACGCCTATATAAATAGCTCGAGTGGCTCGGAAATAATACAGAGTCACGCGAAACCGACGACGGTGCAGAGTTACTCGCAATCGTATCAATATTCGCAGCAGGCTCCTTATTCGGGATACGTGCAATATCCAAATTATACGCAGGGTCAAAATTACGCCTATATCCAAGGCACACACGGAACTAATACAATGGCGTACACGTATAATCCTGCTAATCAAGCGCAAGGCTACACTTACGTGTCTAATCCCCAAGGTACACCGACTTCTCAAACATTAAAGGCAACGGTTTCGGTAACATCCTCCGATGTTACGGCTACTTATCAGCAGCAGGAGACAAATGCAAGATATACGAACGCGGGCAATAATGCTGTAGTTAGTCAAACGCCATCCTCGCAATACAATCAAGTTTATCAGTCTCCATCAGGAAACGATACAGTATACTATACCACACCTTACGGTCTTCAAATGCAGGGTCCAGGTACGTTACGTATTACCCGTAATATCGTTATTATATTTTCTTAGGCATAAAGAGTCATTTTATCATTTCAAGTAATTTTGTTTCAGCTGCTTCGGCCGCAACGAGACCTGAAACTCACACCAATTATAATCAAACATATATGCAAGCCGTCAACAATGGAACGAACACAACGACAAGTGCTAATCCGATGAAGCTCACGACCAAGTCCGAGGAAGCGCAATCGAACGTTGATCTTCTTTCCGACCTCGACATTACTATAAACCATGCGCCTCTAGTGCCAGAAGTGCGGCCACTTTCAGTACAGAAAAAAGAGGAGGCGACAACAGACAATACTGCGGAAGGCAGTAACAAGACAGAAAAAGGCGAGCAAGACAAATTCTGTAAAACTGAACAAGAAACCACAGCTTCTACTGAAGATAAAAGTGATCATGAAAACTTGCAAATCGTATGGGATACATGGTACAATGACGTTCAACCGAAGAAAGATCCTCTAGGAGAACCAGCAGCGCTACAAAAGTTTATTAATAACGTTGAGAAATATGAAAAATTCGTAGATAGTTTACTCGTAAAAACTTTAAGTGGAGCCACGAATCTTGATATTAAATGGAAAGAAGTTCAGGACTTCGAAGTAAGTTGAAAATAAATTTTATTAATATTCTATCAACCACATATATCTTATGCTCAACTGAGGAATATAATTTTAAGAATATACGTGAGTACGTTTAAGTTTACTTAAATCCTCTTTTCTCTTTTAGGAACGAGAAAATGGAAAACAGTCGAGCACTGTAGCATTAGCTCATTCGTCCGAAAATCGAACTATTGATTGTATTCCATACGACACGACACGGGTGCAAATATCGTCATCGGATGTTTCGTCATACATAAATGCATCTCATATCATGGAAATCACGCAGTGGATACCCACAGCATTTATTATAACTCAAGCACCTTTAGCAGATAAATTAAATGTTTTTTGGACGATGGTCTGGGAACAAGAAAGTGAAGTTATTGCATGCTTGGCATCTGATGCTCAGGTTTGTACATAGAAATAATATATATATATATATATATATATATATATATATATATATACATATCATAATAAAAAATATAATAAAACTTTTCAGTAAAATACATATTCTAATAATATACATTTTTTTGGTAGCTGAATGGAGAGTTATATTGGCCCATAAGTGAAGAAGACACCTTAGACATTGGAAATTTTACTATTTCACTAAAAAAGATAGTTAACCATACAACTTATATTCAAAGAACTCTTTCTATTCAACATAATAAAAAGAAAGCTGAGAGAGTCATTGTACACATGCAATTTCTTGTGTGGCCTTCAAAGTAAGTTAACTCCGTAATTGAAATATTTAAAAAGTATATACAGCGGCACATACAGCGGTTAACATGTCTGACTTTTCCAGTGGTTTTCCGAGTAGTCCCGGGGCTATACTTGCATTTTCAAGCGATGTGATGACAGAGCAGGCATTAAGACGTTGTTCTCCCAAGCCCGTAATAGTACATTGTTTAGACGGCGGTTCGTTGAGCAGTCTGTTTTTAGTGGCTGCTGCGACTGTGTGTCACATACGAGCTGCCTGTGGAATCGTAGATGTACCGCTGGTTTTTAAAGGCCTTGCGAAATGTCGCAAACAAGTCGTAAATAAGGAATCATTGTTATTCGCATACAGACTAGTATTGTACCACGCTCAAGATATTTTAATGAAACGTAAGAAAAATAATTTGTCATGATATCTTTAAAGAAATAATCCAATAATATAATAATAATAATATCCTCCGTTTTGTCTTAGGCGGTATTTTATCATCCACTCGAGCTACGTTTGAGAATTTGGATGGATTCAGAGGGAACAAAGAGAAAACATCGCGAAAGTTACAATGCCATCCTTCGGACGATTTTCTTCATAATCTCGGCATGGGAATGCAGCGTCCTGATTCTGAGCAATCAGGTATGCACTTATCATACATATTATAAATTGTAAATTGTAATATAAATTTCAACCAAATAATTTGCTGAACATTAGTTACTTCATTCTTTTTAGAATTCTCTAATTTTCTTTATTTTAGGAAAAACACAAACAATTTTAACAAGCGACAGCACGTCGAGTAAAAGTTCATCGTCACAAGAAAAATCTAATGGCAGAGTCATCGATCCCTTGAGTCAATTGGATCCTTTGTGGTCTATCAGGAGATAATCACACAACGCTAGGAATATAAATTCCACTATGCAGCTTTAAACGATTATTTAAACGAAATAGGCATTCCTATCTTTGTTAAAGTGATTGATAAAAGTATCGAGCAAGAATTTTTAAGATAGCTTGTATAAATAATGTTGTAATATGGAATTATAGAGTAACACAATGCATCTAAATTAGCCTTGAAATAAAAGACATTTATTCAAGTATTTGTGTGCTAATCCTTAAGTTTTAACAGTTTTACTGTCTGTTAAATATATAGAATAAAAAATATAAAACACATGCCTCCTACTTGTATTCCTTTTTTATGTTTATACATTTCAATTGGCTTAAACAATGCAATCTAATTGCATTGCTTCATTTATATTTCGATATATTTAGGCTGTAATGTATGATTAATTGGGTAAATATAACATAACTGTATTTACTTAGCGCTTCAATATAATTTAAATATTCCTGACTATACCTGTTTCCATGAGAAATTATTATAAATATAATATAAACTTTTTAACATATTCATTTCGAACATAATTCATTCGTAGATAACGAAGATACTTTAGACGATATAATCATTCGATAATATATAGCGCACTGAATGCGAAATATTTATTATAGAGAAACGCTCTCTTCTATATTTAAAGCAGGCATATGCTAAATTTGTTCATGAATAAATGTAGTATTCTAATAGTCATGTTATCCATAATATTATGTATGATTTTTAAGGACGCCGCCGAAATATATGCTAAACGTATATTTTTCAAAATTCTAATAAATTGCGCATAGCGATATTTATATTTATGCTATTTTCTTCATCTTCACGACATTTCGTTTATAAAAATTTCAGTTACAATGCAAGGAGAAATAATACATGTATTTGTATTAATTTCCGCAGTGACTGTCGCGAAACTCATACATAAGTGAACATTAATATCAAAAGATTTATAACGTTATGGCAATAGATTTTTATCTATGCAAATGCCGGTATCAGAATACTTTAAACCCCCCTGTTTCGTAGATCTTTCACTTTATAAATTCGTACAAGCCAATGTTCCGTCGTATATGCTTCCTCCAATGTATTCAATTCAAAATCCTTGTTTCCAATCTCCATGTTCCTTACTCTGTCGTAACCTGAAGGTTTACCTGTTTAAACAGTTCAATGATACAATAATCCTTACAAAACTGACCTATAGTTTTGAATGTTTTGATAGAGCAAAAAGTCTTACCGCCTTCAGTGTAGACTTGGCCAAATCTGTAATAGCACATTTTGTACATGAGACAATTGAGCAAAATTGGAGATCCTTCTTTATCCACTCGAAATTCGCCCGCGGAATTATAATAATCCCACTCGGTTATGGATTTCCCTTTTTCTGTACTGCCACCAATGCGCACCATCCATAGGAACTTATTTATATCTAATCAAAATACATAATAATTAAGATAGTAATTGTTAACAATATATATAAGAATTTTCAGAATAAATCTAAACAATTTTCATCTGCTTGTTATAACAGTCTAAATATTTAAGTAACGAGAGTGGTCGACTCGTAGTCAGCGGATTGTGTGTTTGATCCTGATCCTGTCGAGCACACTTTGATTTATGAGTAAAGAAACAAAATAAATTGTTAACTCGTTTTGAGAACAATCTATGTTGGGAACTAAACTAATAGGAAAATGTTGAGATAATTGACACAAGTGTCGTTTTGTCTTTGTTACTCATTGCCAAAAAAGAAAGACAGAATGATGTTTGTGTCAACTTGTGTCGCTTGCTGGAAAACTCCGTATATTTACCATCTGATGAGTAGCCAGTAAGTCCTCCAAAAATCACAAGGACATAGTTGACATCTAATTCTCTCATAATCTCGTAAGCCTTTTCTTCAGAACTAGCCATTGCCTGGCCGACTCTTGATATGTGCGTATTATTCCATGTGTTATTGTCTACTAAAATAGTACGATTTGCCATCGCAGTTATCTGATACCCATAATCCCACCAAGACATTATTTTAGCATTCTGAAAAGAAGGTGGAACATATGATTTGTTTTAATGTTTCCTTAAATATTTTCTTTCCGTTTCAAGTCGCAGTAGTTTTCTTTCCTTTTTAAATTTTCTAGCACAAATTGCTGTGCCATATATTATCTATTTATATCTATATTTTAGATGAATACTTGAATTTATAATTATAATCCAGATGTTTAATAATTTGCGTCTAAAAAAAGTGACTAATAACGCTTACCTCAGGTGTATTCATACGCAGCCAGTAATATGCTTCTCTAAAATCGTCAAAAATCATCCGTCCACCGTCAGGTGACCGTGCAGACAATACAATACTAGGCGAGCTATAAGCTTCTGCTGTAACCCACGTGCAGTGAAAGGTATAAGACAGGAAGAGTATAGACATTACTACGATGAAAAATGAGGCAATCTGAAAATATGTTTTTATTTCTATACGTTCTCAACTTAATGTTACTTTTCCTGTGTCTAACTGTCGTATCTTTAGGCATATTTTTTTCGAAATATTAGAAATTCCTCTAACTTACCTCACTCCTCAAGATATAATTATTTTCAAATTTCTTGGCTTTCTTATCGACAACTTTTCCACTTTCAACTTGCTTCATGTAAGTAACTAATAGAGAAGATGCCCCAATTCCACCCAAAATACACATTACTGGAGCAAGTACTAACATCAAACGTACCATCACTCCCTAAAAAATATTAAATACGTACTATTTAAATATAATACCAATAAACATGAAAGTAAATATGTAAAAGTGTATATATACTTTAAGTGTGTATATATATTTAAAATTGCAAACTTATATATTTTTACTTACTGCAAAATATAAACTGGTAACCCCATACAAAATTAAGAAAATGTTCGAGTCTGTTAATTTAGAGAAACAGAAGTATAAGCCTGATGGGAACAAAAATACAAGTATTTGCAGATCAAAGTAGAAGGAACTCCACGATGTTGGCTGATGTTCCGAAACTGAAGCAATTATTGGAATATGATTTTTTGCATAAGATGGATCGAGCAGAGAATAAAAGCGTCCAGTCCATGGTGATATTTTTCCTTAAAAAAAATAACCAATGCACACAAGGGAATATGTCGTGAATGAAATAATACATTTAACATATATAATGAATTAAAAAATACAAGATCAGTACCTGTGATGGTTAAAATACCACCGACTAGGCACGACGCTGTAACCACTACAGCAAGCAGAGCACGGAATAATATCTCAAACTCTTTTTGGGACAATTTACTCCGCAAATAATCGACTAATGCGTGTATTTGACAAAGGCCGAAAACGCCCAATGCCTGTGAAAAACGAATGAAATAAATAAAATTGTGCATAAAATTTTATGTTAAATGCTGACATCCAATTTTTTAATGGTGCCTCAAAAGTGTCATCGCAACTTACAAGCATGTGCTCGGAACTCTGAACTGGTTGAAAACCGACAAATGAGATCTGCATAGACAAAATGGTTCCTAAGCAATACAAAATGCTGTACGCGATGTATATCCTGTGGGAAAATCTGCCAGTCACCATCAACGTCAGCACGTGCAACGGAATCAAATTAATCAGAAAGACATATCCGCCCCACGAAGACACCATATAGAAGTAGGCCAATGCAGCGCACGTGGACCAACATATCGCTCCTGTTTTCACAGCTTTAATCCACATGTAGTATGTGAATAGCATACAAAAGATCGCTATGCCTTCATTATCATAAGAACCTGCAACTGACCGAGATATATAACCAGGTACAATTGCGATCATTGCGGCTGCGAATAAACCTGATGCGGAATCCTAAAAAGGTAAAATAAACATGGTAGAATGCCGCTGTGCACCTCTGCTTCAAAAAAGATACCACATTACCAGTCAAGATATAAACGGTACCTTTAATTCTTTGGTAAGCAGATAGGTGATAATTGTTGTTAAACTTGAAAACAATGGAGCAAGGAAGACACAAATGTTGCGTATATCTAGCGTGATATTCAGTAACCATGAAATACGATACAATGCTGCTGAAGTTATCATCAAACCAGGATATATAGTTCCTGCAAAATTCATTGTAAAAATATTAATATTTCTCTTTCTTTTCTGAGAGAATTTACGTTAAAATTTGTTAGCATATCATCAGTACCTCCTATTATCCTGCCAAGCGGATACCAAACGCGATCGTCGAACCAATTGTGGAAGCTGTAGAACCCATTTTCAGCTAAATACTTTGTAGTGCGATAATTGAAGTACGGATCGAATTCATGAATGACACTTTCAAATCTTAGTACCGAGAACAAACGCGTTGCAAAGGCTGGAAAAAAAAATTGTAACATAAGAATAATTGAATACGACTAATCAACATTTTCGATATCCAACAAATCAAAGTACAAAGGTAATTATAAACGTACATAAAATTGCTGCTAAGGAAAGCACAGTTAGTTTCAAAAGTGTCTCTTGCTTCTGCGCCGTCATGCGCAGACCCCTCGTCTTCATTAACGTCACCATGTCGATGCCGGAGAAACCCACAGCAATTTCAAATCAAATAAATCCCAAGTCTCTCACAGCATCAATCTGCAAACAAATCAAGGCTCCTTTAAATCGTTTCTTTCCATGTACATTTGTGTACTGTTGTCAACTAGGGAGGTCTTGCCTCTGTTTTCTGTTGCTGAACTGGCTGCACTAGTTCAGAATTTATCTTTTTTACTCCACATTGGAAGAAGAAAAAAGCCGTTTGTTCTTTTTAAAAAAACTTCCCGAACTAGTAAACAATAAGTTAGAGTGAGACAAGTATATTTTGTTTCATTCTAACTTATTGTCCTAGTAACTCACCAGTTCAGAAAGTTCTTCGAAAAAGAACAAACGGAAGAAGATAAACTCTAAATTGGTGCTGAACGGTTCAACAATAGAAAACAGACCCCCTTGTCTAACGTAAGACGCAGACAAACAGACAAGTCTAGTTTTTAAGGGACGATAACAGGTAGTTTCATATTCAGCTCGCATGCAGCCCGAGCACATGCCCGTTACTACTCGGAGGAGGTTATAATCGCACTGGCACTGGGAAAAACGCCCAGCGAGTTAACGAGCGACGAGCGTCTCCGTTCTGGAATATAGACGTGTCCGGTGCCTAATTTTCGGGCATCTAAACGCGTCCTACGCTGGCATCTAACAACGCAAATGCATTCGCAAACAACGCCGGGTAGATCCATCCACTGACCACGTACACAAAATTACCGGCCGGTGACATATGCGACATGCGACACGTCGATTCGCATATTTTACTCTTCCGTATCGTGTATCAGTGTATACGCCTAAGCGACGCGTCAATCGCTTCCGAAAGTTTTAGAGAAACTTACAAAATTACTTTATACAACAAATGTATAAACACAACGGGGCCATTTAAATTATTAATTAAAGAAACGCCAGACAGTATACTGAAGTATACTCCAAAAGAAAAAGCCATGGATTATGATCCGCGCTATCGAAAGACGATCAAACGGATTGTGCACGTGAGTCGTGATATTTAGCGTCATCTATGATGATCTATGGATATTAAATTAAATCCACTGAACTGCCGCATTAATCGCATAGATGATTTTTTTTTAATTACAGTGTATGTCTTTTATATTTCCTCCTTTTTCTTTCAATAAGAAATACTAATAAAAATGTTAAAAATCTAAATTCTCTAAAAAAATACGCAAAATCTTAAAAAATTTTAATTCGCTAAAAAAATGTCATTAAAGTTCCAAGAACTTTAGAGAGATCTTCTAGATTGATACTACGTTTACGCGAGCGTTACTTCTGTAGTAACTTACGATATATCACTCGTTTACGCGGAGTAAATTATCGGAGTAAATTATATAAGTTACTACAAAATCCCGTTTACGCGAAGGAAAATCCCGTTTACACGATCGAAGGAATTATCGTAAGTTACTACAGAAGTAACGCTCGCGTAAACGTGTAGTATGAGTGTAAAAATATATGAATTCATAAAAATTAGCAAAGCATTAGAAGAATATATAATCAAGCAGAGGAGCTACTACTACGTTTACGTGAGCGTTACTTTTGTAGTAGATAATTCCTTTGTGTAAACGGGATTTTCCTTCGCGTAAACGGGATTTTGTAGTAACTTACGATAATTTATTCCGCGTAAACGAGTGATATATCGTAAGTTTACTAACGCTCGCGTAAACGTAGTACATACATATGTGGTTTCTAAAATTCCTAAATTTTAAGTCTATAATTGTGAAGTTTCGAACGGCGAAAATTTTAATTCTGAAAAATTGGCGAAATATTAGGAGAATATAATCGAGTGAGAAATGGGCATAAATAAAAATTCCAAAGACTGCAATTTTAGAAAGCTTCATTTATATTGTAATGTCTTTTTTTATCTACATTAAAATAAGCAATTAACATTATAACATATATGCGATATAAAAGGCAAATGCAGACGTAATGCATAAATATTTATAAATACAATGCGCACTTATTCTCGAGTATATCTTCGATTCTAACTTTAATAATTAAAATGTCTGTGAATATAACATTAATCTGTTCTTAAAAATATTAATTCATCTTTCTCGTTATATATTTTCTAAAATTGTGGAGGTAATAAAAACATATATGGCCGAAACGTATATTTCATGTCGTACGACAAATTTGTTAAGCATGTAATTGGCTACAAAATAGAAAAGTTCTCGAGTTTCTAGAAATCCTCTATCTTGTAGCCAATCAATACCTTTTAAAAAATTTATCATATATTTATCAAACACGCTGTTCTATCTTCGTAATCGGTGCTCGATGCTCCAAATCCCTCATGACTCGTTCCCGCCAGACAAACCGGTACCGACCCGGTATTTATGTTTTATGGGATTTATATGTCTACATTACGCTTAATTACGGTGTCTCGTTAATTCTGACTTGTTTCTCGTAACGTCGTCCTTAACGTGATAAAAATGTCCGAAGGTAACAGCATCCGAATGTACACGCATCTTGTACAATGCGGCAAATTTAACCTCAATCCCTAAGATAAATGTATCACGCGATAAACCTTAACCTCTCAAACCTTAAAATAAATCTTTAAATCGAGGAAAAATCTCGCGAAATCGCATCATGTAACGATATATTATAATTGGAAGTTAAGGAATCCGTGTCTTTTTAGCTGAGACATATTACATGTTTTATTTTGGGCTGCCTTATCCCTAGATAATATGCTTTTTTTCTAAACATGTAGTCAAAATCCAATATTTTACAAGTACTAATGTAATAATTATATACATGTAATGAGACTTATTTTATACACTCTATCAATAAGATTTTATTTAGTATTTATATTTATGTATTTATCTATATTTATTTTAATATTTGCAGTTGTGAATGATAATTTCAAAGAATTTAAAAAAAGTGTATTTTTTCCATGTAGATAGAACAACAACGACAGAAGATATGTGGACGCCGTACAAAGAGCTGCAAAGCCTTATTGAGAAGAATGTAATATCAGTTCCTGATATTCAAGATCCTCAGTATCATGAATTGACGGAAGCTTTACGAAATCACAGACAGAATTTTCTTACTATATTAAATAATCCAGTAAGTGTCTTTTATTCTTGTTATTCAATGATTATAATAAGATATCAAAATTAATACTGTAATGTATATTCATAAATCTTACTAAAAATGTGGTACAATTGATATAATAGTATTAAATATATTATAATGCTAGTTATGTGTAGATAGTAATGTTATATTTTTTATTTATTAGCCAAAAAATGCAAAAAGTCGCGAGGAAATTAAGAAAGGAGTCACGGATGGTATTACGCTACCTGGTTTGGGTCATCAAATATTATCAAAGGAGTTAGTGGATGAGACTCTCATTATATCAGATATGTATGATTTGAATGAGTTCATGGCATTGGATCTTCTCTGTACGGCTCAACTTCAAATGCCGCATCATCCTGGTTTAACACGCGGCTTAACAGCTGTTCTTCTGTATTACGACGGAAGAAAAGCGCTGACATCAGTATTAAGAACCTTAGTGCACACTCGAATTGGTCACAGTTGGGCGGTGGATGCACCGGTTGCTCTTACAAGACACATTACGGACTATACCAATAAGTTGCAAGAAGATGGTCTATTAAATAGGATTTTATCCCTGTTAGAGGAAATGGATCCTACTAAGGTATTCTATCAAGGAAGGAAAGATAAGAATAGAAAGAAATCTTGTACAAAATAGATTATTTTTTGTGAAGAGCTATAAAATAATTGTATTGACTTAAAAAATTAATTGATAATAACATTTAACAATTTCCAAATATCTATCAATAATTTGTTAGATATTTGAACTATCAAAATGTATTAATCTCTCTAAAAATAATTTTAAACAGGAACAAGATTTGCTGCAACAAAATAGAGCATTAGGCGGAGCAAAGCATCATCAGATGGTTATGAAACTTTACAATGACACACGACAAGATCTGGCTGATATTTTATACTTGTGGTCCGCTCAGTCGTCTCTTCCGAATATAATTCTGTTTCGTTTATTATCTATACTGCAAACACGTCAAGTAGAATCCGAGGCGGGTGAAGGAGGGCCTGACAAAGTTACACTTGCACTTATTATGGCTGTTTTGAATGCCTTTAATTTTAGTTTCTTACATAGTCGCGAAAACGGCGAAGGTACAATATATTTTATTACCAATCTGTCAACATTTATAATAACTTGCAAAATAACTTTTGTAAAACTCATAATAATATTGTGATTTATTATTTCAGAATTAATTAATTCAATGCCACTAATAGCGGAAAGGGAAGCACTGGAGGAACTGAATCAAAAGTTAATATCTACCAACATAAATTGGGAGAGTGCTGGATTGCGAGGAGTGATACAGTTTGCTTTAGCGATAGCTATGACTACCATCAAAACAACCACCACTCAATTCCAGTCTCAGAACATTACCGCGGAAGATGAAATCCTAGTAGAAGCGGCTCTGGCTAACAAAGCTTTTCATTTTATGGCCGAGGTTTTGCTCAAGAGTAGTTGCATACATCAAGAGGAATTTTATGTTCGCTATTTTCATACGTTAATTTCCGACTTCATATTGTTGATGCCCGTTAAAGTCAAAGAATTACGCAGTCGCGCCGATGAATCCATGCGCTTGATCCAAGCATTCCAACAGGAAGGCATTGAACCTCCGATGAACCTGGATAATCATTTTGAATATTTAATGTTGATGATAGCAGAGCTGTACAAGGAAGATCCATTGAAACTAAATTTAGCCATGGATTATTGGTGTCATCACACTGATACGACTCACGTGTCGGCTCCTGCATACATTAGCCGCCTGCCGTCTAGACAAGTTGCCTTATTTAAATTTATACGGCTTGCCGGAGAGATATTACCGGCAGGTTTATTTGTTTCGTATATGAAGATGATAGCGTCTCTCGCCTCATCGCCACAAGCGGCTAGATACGCATTTAATTTTTTTAAACCAAACGGTAAGTATGATTATTATAAGCAAAATGTAGGTATTTGTGTTATTATTTTTATAATAAAGTTACGTAAATGCATCTGTTATAGGATCATCCGGTTCAGCAACTATTTCATGGGATCATTTCTTCAATTCCTTAAACCGATACTACTACAATTTGAGACAGGAATTACCTCCCAGTCAGGATACAGTGTACAGGCAAAGGTGTCATCCGAAAGGAATTATGCCTCAGGAAGTTAAAGGTCTCGAGGCAGTGCTATTGGTTGTCCAAGTGATAGCCAAGAACGATGAAATGTCGAGAGTTGCGATATGCGACCATCCGAGTTGGAAAGTCTTGCAGTCTTTGATCGGCTTGGTGAGCTGCGCGATGCCGATACCTTTGAAGGGTGTACTAGTAAGAACTCTCGCGGCACTGGCCAGATCTCCAGAGAGCTCTTCCACTGTTTGGCAGAGCTTGGAGGCCGCTCAGTTTCTGTCCACTATACCAACAACGAGCAGTTATCAGCCGAGAGGTGTGCAAACGGAATTGGAAGAGATCGAATCTAGAAACGAGGAATACCCGTTAACGCGCGCCATGTTACAGCTATTAGATGTGCTCACTGATTTCCCAATACCACGTCTGTTGGGTGTAGGTCAACGAAATCCAGGATTCGATCCGTATTTACATTTCATTATCAATACCGTCTTCCTGAGGTTCCATACTCGTTCGTATAAAAATCCTGCCGAGAAGTGGGAGGTGGCGGAAGCCTGCTTGAAGATATTCTCGAAGTTGATAAAGCAGTACGAACCGACCGTTGAGGATTTCGTGGGCTGCAAAGTTGAGTTGCAAGGTGGGGAGTCCACCTTGGTCAACTCGGCTCCGGGATATCACTTAATGACACATTTGCACACCACTTCTGAACTGTTACACGTGATATTATACATCATGGACGAAGGTTGCCATCATTTCGATACCTACGACAGTTTTCCGGGCAAGACGTATCTCGAGAGTTGCAGTCTTTATTGCTTGGAAATATTGGAGCGTGGATTAAAGATGCAAAACAATTATATGGCACAATTAACCGCCATACCGTCTGTGAACAAAATTATGACCGGACTGTCACGTTTGCTGCTCGGAGTGAATCCTCGCACTGGCAAGCCGGATCACATGATTAATATTGTCAAGTACGTTTCTTACAATTCATGGTTACCGAAGCAGGCCTTCGTGGCGGTCGGCGTTATTCACGGCGTGACCAACGAGCCCGGAGCAGACTCGGAATTGCTGTCGACGTTCACGGCAACTTCTACTTTAGCGACCAATATCAGACACGGTTTTGTCGAGTGTCTAGACGCGGACAATATCTCGGAGGAGGATGACGAGATAGTTAGAACGGACGAGCAGAGTAGGCAGTCAATTGGAAATTGCAAAGAAAGAATTCTGCTCTTAATGATGCACAGTATTACACGACCTGCGCCAAATCTCGCCCATTACTTGCTCGGCTTTGAAATAAACAAAGACATCAGGAAGACCGTTATCCAGCAACCGGGAATCCTCGGATTTCCGCGTACCTGTCTGCATTCCATCCTAGGTATTCTGGAGCAATCTCTCGAGCGCGGTCGCGACAAAATAACCGAAGCCTGTTACTGTTATCTCCATACGTTAACGGCTAACAGCAAAACATCGACGCCTGTTCTCAGATTTCTACGTACTACGAGTAATCAAGACTTCGTGCAGAGACATCTCTCGAAATTGCCGTTTCAGGGGCCAAATAGATCAACCGAGCTCGGCTGCATGTCCTGGCTATTGAAAATAGCGGCTATCGAGTTACGAGTCGCTGGTGGAAGTTTGCAGACTTCTCTAATTCAGCGATTGGTGGGAAGTTTCAATCAGGACAGGGACCAGATTGTACCCTCTCAGAAGCTTCTGATGGATCTCTTGCATTACATCGATTTCCAATTGTATCTGGAACCCGCGAAATCGTGGGAGTTCTTCGATCCGTCGCAGATTGAAATGGTCCTGGGTAAATGCAGCATTCCCGTTGCGTTAATGGGTGGTCCGTGGCTCATCGACATCAGAAAACTGCATTCTCTCATCACCGAGGAATTAACGGTTACGCAGAGCAGCGCGACTGCTACCCAACGCAAGCTCATGCAGCAAGAAGTCAAGTCCATACTTGCGCACGCATTGAAGAAGAATCAAACCAAGGTCCTGTCCTATGCTACTGTCAAGTTCGTAGAAGGCTGGTGCCAAACTACGGAAATACTTTTCTCCGTCGCGACGAATCAACAATTGCCGGTGGCTCAACGGCAAAATCTTCTGCTGAATTTGTCGCACGACCTGCTGCAAAAGATGACGTCCTGCGAAGCTCTGAGTGAGATTAAAACTCTGGTATCCGGCACGGTTCTAATGTTGCTGGTAAACTTACGAAACAGCTTCGTGATTCAGTCGGACAACGAGTTACTGCCGTCATCGCCGTCGAACACGACGATGATGAAAATCATTTTAAGTCACATCTTACAGTGGATCATAAATGCCGGTGCGTCCTCGCAGAAAGTCGTCACGCATCTTTACGCGGCCTTATTGAACTTCTTGAGTATCGTCGGCTTGGAAAAGTCCGAGCACGTGAGCGCGATGGACTCTGTGTATATCAGCCAATTGGACAATTCAATGAACAAGCTTATGCCTGTGCAGGAACGCTCGCAACGTTACGCGACGATTCAGGTCATCAACAGTTTCGGAAATCAGTTGATGGATATCCTGTGCCACAATTGCTCGGGCGGACACGACGTGTGTAAGATGCTCGCCCTGTCCTGCCTGGACAAGATCTTGGAATTGGATTATGATAACGCGTGGATGATCTATCTAACGAGCAGAGGCTATTTGAAGCACATGATAGACAGTCTGTTGGAATCGGACGGTCTGTTGCGGTGCATGCTGCAACCGGAGCCACAGACGATGCGGCCTTTGTACTTGTACGAGGCAAAGATGGCGATCTTCTGCAGGATGGCGTCAACGAGACTAGGCGCGGAGAGTTTGTTGGAGAACAAGATCTTGTCCTGTATGTCCAGTATGTGCGCGTTCGATCAGCATCCTGACGTGCACGTAGGCTTCGAGGGCGGCGATTATTCCTTCATACCTTCGGTCGGGCAACGCTATCAGCAAATTTTCTTACCGGCCTTGTATCTCTGCGACGCCCTGTTCACCACGTTGGGAACGGAGAATCAATCGTGCGCCGTGCAAGTCTGCGGATTTTTACAGAGTCACAGGGACACCGTGGAAATGGCCCTGAGAAATGCGTTCTCGCAGGCCAATGTGCTTTTCCTGAAGGAGATCGCATGTCTCACCGGGGTGATATCTAGATCTGCTAACATAGGTTTGTATGCTATGAGATAACTGTGATTGCGAACTGCTCTTATATAATTATAATTATGTTTCTGTAAATATAATCGCTTTTCAGACATGTACAAACTCGTGGACGAGGAATTGGCGAGAATAGATATAGACGATTACAAATTAGAGAGCAGTACTGGGATGAGAGAATTGAGAGCGCATCTGTACCGGTTGCAGAAGTTGATGCTGTCGTTGTTGCACAAATTTCAGCTGCAGACGATCCCGATAAATCATAATTACCAGCAGGTTGACGCAAACGAGCAATATATCTCTTGCATACAGATAATCGCCAACATCATGCTGTATACACGCAATCAAGTAAGTCTTAAATTTCTAGTGGACATGCCTGTATACATGTTATGTTGTAAATGAATAATTTCAGATGCAACACAGTCGTATGGATCAGAAAATACGAAATGTATTGTTCGATCCTCATTTAACACCGAAGCCTGGAAGAAGACAAGACAAAATGAAGGATACCTCTGGTGGAGTGTGTTTGGGCACAATTGTCGAACAATTGGTTTCCGTGACAAATTTGCTGCACACCGAGTTACCGCATATCGATTCCCTGATAAAGAAAGCGCAAGTGGTAACCGACATGAGTACAGCGGAATTAAAGAAGGTAAGTGCTATCTAAATCTTTCAATTAAATTTATTACTCGTGTACGCGTATTAAAAGTTTAACACGTTTGTCTTTATTCGCAGTACATGTCCGAAAACGAGGTGGAACTAGATATAGGGAAACAACGAATACTCGTCGAACAGAAACTAAATCATTGGATAAAGGATAAGCGACAAAGCATAAAATACTGCTCTCTTATAATAGAGCACGCTTTATACATTCTTTGGAGTCACTTGGACTTTTACACCATGCAAGTCATATCACGGCAAACTCAAAGGGTGCACGGTTAGTGAAATCTAATTTAATTTCTTATTAGAAATAATTGTATTTATGCGTTTATAGCGCGTACTTTATGAGTCATCAAACATTTAATATTGTAATATATTCGTTCGTACAGTAACTTCAGGTGGCGTCGACGAAAGCATGATAGAATGGAAGGTTTCGTCAGAAACGCTAATGGAGCTGAAGCAAGGACTCGTTTCTACTTTTACCGATACTTTTATCACGCAGTTGTTGGATACAACACACAGCGAATACGCGACAGTGGACCGTAGCTTTATCGAAGCTCTTATAAGACGAATTAAAAGATTGTTACAATTTATAATTATAAAATAATGAAGGATTAACGTTTGCTACGTACATAGTTTCAATTTTAATTACATATTTTTTTATTCCACTTTGTATACTCCACTTATCGTTAATCGCCATTTTGTTACACAGAATAGGTATGAACAGTGTTTACTAGAAATGAAAAATAGCGAGATCGATTAAATTTTATTTAGAATTCATATGCAGAATCGATTTTTTGATCTATTTGTGAAAATGAATCAGGTGAAAATTACGTACTTTAAGTCATTTTCCTTTGCATTTTTTGCAAAATGTAATAAATTTATATTAACATACTTCTTTCATGTTCTCCTTTTCTATCTAACGTGTGTATCATGCAATAAAATGTATTCTTGTAAAATTATTATTTATTACATGAATAATATAAATAATACTATATAAAGATGTGTGATAAATATAGAATATTGGATTTCAAAAAGTACAAGTATACGATTCTGGATTACATATTTGTTATAAATGTACAAATATACAAGTTTCTAACTACGATAGATTCTCGTAAAGAAATCCAATTCTATTTCTTTTTAAGAAGCGATTACTGCCTCATCCCAAGGACCATAAATGTTATCTTTATATTTCTGGCATCTGATATACAAAAGTGGACAAACAAAATGAATGAATATTACAGCGATAATAAAAACGTAGGAGAACCTTTGTGAGACAAATAGGAGCAAATATATAGTGCCGATTGTCAGAACGACTGATACGACAATTTTATTATTTATTTGCGACAGCAAATAAGGTAACAGTACGAAACACTGAACTGAAACGGTTAAAAGCGAAAAGGCATGTAACGGAGACGCTAATCTGGAGGCCAACATTAATGAGCCAAAGGTTGAGGAAGTTATGGATAAAGAGTCCGAGAGAAAGATCTGTGACGATCCATATTTGCTAAATACTAAATGGGTGAGAAACATCAATATCGTCATAGCGTAAATTGTATCAGTACTAATCGTTTCCGTTAAGGTTTTCAAAATGGGCGATAATATGTAACCAAATGTTAGAAATATTAATACTGTCCACAAATCCTTTGTTAGTTTTATAGGCCGATCAGGTATTTTCATATTGTATATAAAATACCCAAGGATCGTCAGCACGCTTCCTGATATCACGACAACGTTTGGCGTGGTCCATTCATTGTTCAGCCAGATAAATATGTTGACGAAGAGTACAACAACGCTCAATCTCGTGGATATGCTGGCGCCTAAGCTTATCGCTTCTATTAACGTCACGTTATTCGGTTTTATATTTTTACGCAGTTGCTTCAAGAAGGAACTGTCCGTATAATTGTCAGGCAATCCGTAATTTTCATACAAATTTTTCTGCCATTGTACTTCTCTCATCTTGCATTAAGTACACACTTTCAGGACAGTTCTCAAAGTTCTTCCCGTTCCTACAAAGTTTTAAATAAGTTTATGAATTAACTACATTGGCCAAAGCACTTGATAGTAAAATTACTTATTAGTTTTAGCAATAATAATAACTATGCTTACCACCACTAATTTGGATGTGTGGAATACATTGTTAACGTATAGTTAACTAATGTGTCTCTTACATAGGTCATCGCTCATTTGCTGCAACAATGACAACTCAAAAACCAAAGTTTTCCAGAAAATAAATTTGAATACCGAATCATTACAATTTTGTAACATTATTTTTAATTGCGACTTTGGTGTAATAACTAATTATGGAAGAATACAAATGTTTAACTATATAAACTTTATTCACTGTGTTGAACTCTTATCATTCTTTCGCAAAGAACTCAAAAATCATGATTAATATATGAAATACATGTTACATCATGTCAAAAATGACAGTTTTGACTTACGAAATGGAATCATATTTCTGTCAAAATTTAAGGCGAGAGAATTTAAGTGAACATTTACCGAAAACTTTTCAACAATCATTTATATTCCGAGACACGTTATTGCCTCGATCTCGCAGCATATACATATATTCTGGACATTTCGAGCAACCGTGGGTAAAATCTTCGCGCGGCACGCGCCGCCATGACCGATCGTCGGAGTCGTGTGTCGGACCTGTCGCCGCGCGCGCGCGTCGCCATCTTTTCCCTCACCCGGGAAACCCGGCCGCCGGGGAATTATCATCCTCCGAGGGAACGGGGCGCCCTGGGAAATTTGTCGGGGAACTGTCGTCCGCGGGAGACGCGCACTGGCGGCGGGCTCGGCAAGTTTTGCTGCTTTTAGTGGAATTTATTTTCAAAATGGCTGCTACGAGGAGGTTGCAAAAGGTAAATTCGAGGTAGTCGTCGTGGTCGGTCGTGCGACGTCGACGGGGCCCGTGACGATGTCGGGGTCGTCGCGCAGGATCAACCCGCGCGCGGACGCGCCTTCACCTGCGTGTCGCTCGGCGGGAACGGGATCTCGCGCGTCAGTGGCCCGTCCTCGCCTCGTCGCTGACATCGAGGGGCACCCCGTCGGTTACTCCTGTCTCTCTCGCGCGCGCGCGCGCGCGCCAATGTCGCCGGCAACCGCGGGGGTCGTTACCCCGGGGCCCGGGACCCGTGCCCCCGTCGCGTCGCGTTCCCCACGGACGGGCCCCGTCCGACCGCCGCTCCGGGGGCGGCCTCGAAACCCGGCGGCGACGTGACCGTGCCTCCGCGCGGCTCCACGGACTCCACTCAGCCTGTGTGACTTTTTCCAGGAACTCGGCGACCTCAGGGCGTCGGCGATGAAGAACTTCACAAATATCCAAGTAGACGAGTCCAATATCCTCACCTGGCAGGGCCTGATATTGCCGGTACGTCGTTCGTCGTCGTCGTCGTACCCCCCTTGGGGATTCGAGGGGGGCACGTAACCTAAAATACGCGCGCGCACGGGTGCAAAGTGCACGTCCCGTGAGTCGTGACTCATCCCGTTTCTCTCTCAAGAATGTACTTCCTTACATTTCTTTCAGCTTCAAGGTGAGACAAATGTAGCTTGTGTTCTTGAGAGAGGAAGATCCCGTTTCTCTCTCTCTCGAGTGTACTTCTTTACATTTCTTTCACATTTAAGGTAAGACAAATGTAGCTTATGTTCTTGAGAGAGGAAGAAAAGTAAATGAAAATGTAATTAACTCAACGGTGCGTGCCTGAATATACATTAATTTGGATTACATGAATTTATATATATTATATTTGTGTTGCCTATAATCGCTTGATTCAAACATTCCGATAAAACCAGTCCGATCTGTGTGTATTTTATCCTTCGTATGGAAAGTCATTTTTCAATACAAATTTCTGCAATATTTCACGGTACGCTAGAAAAACGCTCATTTAAATAAATGTATGAAAATTTATACACTTTACACTTGATTAGTGATTGTAAGTATTGAATGTGCAGTGAGTTTTGCTGCATATATTGTAAGAATATAGTATATAATGTGTGAATTATATTGCAATTATACATATATAATTTTTAGACTCTACAATCTCTGTGCACAAAATAGATTGTAACTGTTATATAATCTTATATAGTAGAATATTGTTTAGAAACATTATTTCTTGTTTAGGAAAAAATATATAAGATATTCTTATTTTAACATATTATTTTAAGTACGTGAATATTGCTATGATTTCCTTCAAGTGTAACACAGAGTCTTATGTTGCTTCTATGATATGTAATGTATGTGTTATATTTTACTAGTAATCTATAGACATTAGTAAAGACACGAGATGTTTTCTTCCACAGGACAACCCACCATACAACAAAGGCGCGTTTCGCATCGAAATTAATTTTCCCGCAGAATACCCCTTTAAACCACCAAGAATAAATTTCAAAACGAAGATATATCATCCAAACGTAGACGAAAAGGGACAGATATGTTTGCCAATTATAAGCGCGGAAAATTGGAAACCTGCTACAAAAACGGACCAAGGTCAGTCTCTACATTTCAACTTACGGCTATTTTGTATTTTAATAGTGATTTATAAAAATGCTTCTAAGATTTGAGTATAAGTGCTACTAGTTGCAATTTGTAAAATTCATATTTCTAAAGCAGCGTAAACATAAAACTAATATGTTTCTTTTTCAAGAGAAAAAGAGAATATTCTTAATTTGACATATGCCATTTTACACTTGCAGTGATCCAAGCTTTGATAGCATTAGTGAATGATCCTGAGCCCGAGCATCTCTTGAGAGCGGATCTAGCTGAAGAATTTCTGAAGGATAGAAAAAAGTTTTTAAAAAATGCGAAAGAGTTTATAAAAAAGCATGCCGAGAAGAGGCGGGAATCATCATCATCTTCTAACCGAATAACTCCGAATGATTTAGCTTTACTTACCATCATCACCACGATGCCTGCCGCCCGTCAGCTGATTTAAACTCAAGCCAATGTATACCTGTCTGTTAATCCCCGTGGAATCTCACAGATTCGAGTTGAGATGACTCTGTACAGTATTGGTTAACACCGACGCAAATTGCATAATGTTGCATAATGTTTATAAGAAGTGGGATGAACTTTTCAGAGTACAGTAAATTATGATGAATAACTGTATCATATTGTATACAATTTATACTTGAAGTCATATGCAATTATACTTTGATTTATCATCGAAAGGTCGTTACATTCCAGCTTGATCCTGTAGGAATGTATACGATGATGAAAAATGATTCAGCATAGAGACATCATGTTTATCAGATGTAGCAGCGTATGTAATGCAGTATGTATTAAAGTACACATAATTTCCAATGTTGTTTAAGATGTTAATTTATAATTGCATTTCGAATTTATAGCTACTGCTTTATAACTGTTACTAATATTAAGATCGCAAGTAATAAAAGAGGAACGTTTGCTCTCAAATTTCTTTAACGAAAACAAAATTAATTGTAATATAAAATTGAAATTTTTGTCAATCTTTTCGCGATATAATATTGAATTTTTTATAATGTAGCGAATATATAATTTAATGTTTTTCATTGATTAATTAAAAAAAAAAAGTAAACTTTTTTGTTTTTATTTTCGACTCCAAGTACTTTTCAATATCTGAATGCAATGTAAATTTTCTTCACAGGGGGATGGATGTCTGCAGATTTTATTTTATATCCTGTACAGAACTGTCTTAAAATTGCTGTAATATGAAACCTGATATGTTAAATTTGTTTACAGTTTTTGCTGGCACATTTGTGATTATCGAAAAATATAAAAATCAAGAACTAAAACGTTTAAAAACATTTTTTTATATCGTTATTCAAATTATAAAAAGAATAATGAACAAGATTACAACAAACATAGTCGAAATCATTGGAAAGAAGTCTAGTCATTTTTCTTTCCATTTGATTACAACTTCCGATTTCTACAATGGCTTAAAAGGCTAATGTTATGTGAAAATTGTGTGAATATTCTTTTTATATAACCTCGTAATATATTTAAATGGGCAAAGAAGTTATTACAACTTCTATTTAAGCGTATGTAATATAATATATATATATATAAAACATAATATATGAAAAATTGACAAAAGCTCCAGTTGCTGGAATATGAAATGTCTTCTTTGTACTATGTGTGCTGTGTTTATCGAATTGTATAGGATTAAGAAATACAATATTTCAAGAGTAGTAAGTTATATTTTTTGATATAAACGTGATGTGAATTATTTCTCCTATGTACTTCTATGAGAATTTCTAAAATTTTTATGATTATGCGAAATAATATTATTTATATTTCAATCTGTAATTCACATTTATGCAATAATTTACAGCAATATTTTGAAAAGTATATAAAATGCTAATAAAATTTTTATATTTATCTTTTAACAGCACATATAGATAAATAATTGTTTATAAAATGTTATGAAGATTGAAATCGCTATACAAGAAAATTTCTTGTTAAAAATATTAAACATTGTAAAGATACATACATGTTTAATAACATAATTTGTTTTTATGTTATCGCAATTATGAAAATAACAATCGTATTTTAATTGTGTTTATAACTTTTGCCCTGTATTGTATTAAAATTTCTTCAGACAATAAAACATACCGAGATAACATTAATCGTTACGATGACTAATGTATCTCACACTGTAAGAAACATTATTTGGATGCTATTCATTATACTGGATATTATTACGTATGTAAAAACTTTATACAGCTATTGTTATGGATTATATTCTCAACTGATAAACTTACAGTTCCATTGTTAAACCGTACGAATTACTTCAGCATTTATTTTTAGTATTACATATATTATACATTACATGTATATATGTAAAACTTTACAAGGGTAATTTTTTAGTTAGGGTAAACTGGATATTTTGTGTTTGTTTAGCATGTTAAACTTTGTATAGAAAATAAATGTATTGGATAAATATTTCAGGAATAATAAGTGCTGTTGTAGCATTTTAATTTTATTCAGTTTTGTGTACGAAAAAGGGTAAAATCTTCATTTAAATCTTAAAACTTTATCTTAATAAATAAAGAGAGAATACAAATAAAAATAAAAACATGACACCAATCATTCGCCTTTCTTCACTACAACGTGAAAGTGTGCAATACATGTTTGAATTGAACTGCATTTTATTAAGATCTTCATCTTTATTTAATCTCATGCGCACATATCATCCCGCTAACAAATTCTGCATCTCTTACAGATTCGTAGATCCCACTTTTGGCATACTATAATAAATATTCTGTGTTGTACTAAAACGGTCAGTGGATTAAATTGCAATGAAATAATTGAAAAGCTAGGTGGAAGAGGCGGAAGCTGTTAAGCGTCAACATTGGAGATGTATAATGTTTATTACTATATAAATTCAAATTATATATTTATATAAATACAAAATATAGCGTGAAAGCATATCTTAACTAATATATGTCCAAAAATGGACTTAGATGAAAATCAACACTTGTGTATTCATGTGTTTTTTATATAAGAAGATAAACATGATTTAGATTTAGGGGTGTGGAGTGCAAACTTGAAAAATAATATTGAGTTGTTGGAAATGAGACAAGTATATTCTTAATAATACATTCACATCACTTATTTACATATATAATTGATAGACATCAACGTAAATAAAACTATATGTAAATGTACCATTTTTCTTCCTAAATTCACGATATATTCAGATAGTATTTGTTATCATAGACAATCACAGTCTTACAAGTGTAGAAAAGTTTCTAATTGCGATATTATCAATGCGAATCATCTTCAGTAACTTAATTGTATTTCGCATCATTAGAAACGCGCGTTAACTAAAAACTATCTAATTTAGAATACATATTCATTATAATGAGTACTCACATGTATTACATGCATATTGTAATACAAGTGTAAGTCAAACAAATGCACATGTAATTGAAATGTAAAGAGTTGGAGAGCAGGTACAATCTCCATTATTACAAGAAATCAATGCCTCCCTGATTTAGATCTAAGTGCATCATTCCTTTGACACATCAACCTTTTCCACCAAACTAGTCAATTATCAAAAGAATATCTTGCCATTCATTTCAATTACAGAGATGTTCCATGATAACAAGTATATAAGTTGTCTAATTCAAATATTTTTTAATGGATATAAACACATCATCTTACAGTTTTCAGCACTCAATAATGACCCATTCTCTAATTTTTTTGTCTTTGTATTTGCAATATCGGCCGTACTCAATATTTTACCATTTTCGATAAACTTCCCAATCATATATTCCTGTAAAGAACATTATACGCTGTAAATTTAAAGCTAAATAAGTGTCAATATATGTAGTCAATATATTAACTGTATACATATACAGAATATCCAAACTCTATGGAAATATAAATTTTCTTGTTGACATGGAATATCCCCTGGACAATAATAATTCACAACCGAGAAATGAGAATAACAAGAAGATAACGATAATGATGCCAAATAATGGTGATGTAATAATGATTCGGTGAATAAAATATGAAGAATCATTAATGTGTATAGTAAGAGGATATATATTATTACAAATTACTTACATGTTTGTACACATCCAATATTGAATTCAGCATTAAGCAACATATGTATACACCTTCCTGTAAATCGTAGAATGTATTAGTTTATTTCTGTAAATATTAGGGTCAATGTATAACATGCATTACATACCGATCTTCCGGTGTACGAGCCAAGTACTCTCGTTCGATTAAGCCTTCGATACGTTTCTTAATTATTACAGGTGAAGGCAAAAATCGACCTCTTAACTGTTCTGTTACTTCTGTTACCAGTATATTATGCTAATAAAAGAGAAAATAAATTGATATATTGATTATGCTTTATATATTCTACACATATTATAGCTTATCTCGAATAAAAAAAATATTTTTTTTACGTTCGAAAAATATGTATCAATGAATTAACCGTGTACAGTGAATTTATATTTATAAGAAATTTCAAGTTACATACAGGCATACGCTTTCGGGCTTTCATAATTCGTACGATGGCTGCTTCGATCTCGTGTTTCCGGTCTTCATCGACTTTATTGCGCGTCTCTCTTCTCTCAGGTTCTGATTCTCCCTTTGCTGCTACGGTCTGGATCTTTACTCTTAACAAAAGCGATACAAATATTCAATAAAAGATGGTTATTTACATCACATATATTATTAACACATTTGCAGCCACTAACGTAATTTTAAGTCACTTTTAAGATTTGTAGCCAATTGTCCTTGATGTAATTTTACGTCATTTTAAAATGTAGTAGTTTGTTGCCGCTGGTATAATTTAACGTTATTTTATATTTTTAGAAAAGCACATAATTTTATGATTCGTATTTATGATTACTGCAGTTATCTAACAATAAATTGATTTCAAAATAAGCATTTAAACGGAATTAAAAATAGTTTGGATCCGAAAATGAAACAAATTTACACGTAACTCTCAGTACAGCCACGCGCTCGAATCGCCAGCTGCGAAAGTGTTAATATATGTATCATTTATTGCATAAAAATATAATACCTATGTAATTTACTGGTAAAACTGTCGTTCACACAGAAACAATTCGTAGATTCAATTTCCTTGGTACGAGGGTGTTTAAGTAAAATTCTTTGTGTAGCTTTACCCATGGCAAGAGATTGCAATGCTCTGACCAAGTCCCTCTCTGGAATATCGGTTTCACCTTGAATTTCCTACACAATATTCATACATATGTACATATAGAAATTATAAACACTTTTTATTCTTCATGTAACATGTAGATGTAATTAATTAGCTGCTTAAACTCATATCACAACTCACCTCATATGTTAACCTTTCTTTTTTATTGAACAGCATTAACACACACATTTGGTAAGTGGAAACTTGTATTATGTGCTTTCGTGGTGTACTACACATGCTGCTTCGCTGGCTCACTAAGCTGCTACTTGCGCTACCATTCCCAATAGAACTCGAAGATGATGGAGTATCCAAGCCTCCGCAATTACTCTCTTCTCTTCGTGGTCCATAGAATACAGCGTTTAGATCAGCAGAGCCTGTACAAATTTTTATCATTGCACTCATTATATTACTAAATGTTTAAATAAAAACAGATATTGATAAAGACATAAAAATAATAACTCACCTAATTGTGGCTGTAACGTTAATTGTCGACCGCTATGTTTAGCTAGGTAGAAGCGCCGGAAGGCATCAAAGGCATCACGCGGAGCAGTGGGCATACTGCATTTTGGAGTGGCTGATTGCGTTGGCCAGAAACCAGTTGTAAGCACCCGGACACTTATATCCACACCATGTAGATTTGTCTTTATGAAACATACACAGATAAGACATAAAATAATAATCTATATCTATGGTATACGTATAAATACAAATTTTATAAAATGTTTTAGTTAAACATAACCAGAATATTACGCGTTAACAATCTTTTCTGTAACTTATACACTAATTTATATTTTATTTATACATGTGGAAATATTCAAATTAATATTTATATAAAATCTTAATATAAAAATTATAGAAGCATTTAAGGTAATAAAACCTTTTATTATATTTTCTTTATTAGCTGGTCTATGCTTTATTATATTATTTTGATACTTACGCCAGACGTAAGAACATGGTCCTTAAATTCATCCATAATAGTGTTGCTGACTGTTATATCCTTAAACATGCCTTCTAACTTTGATGTGAACTGACATCCACATTCAGTCTAAAAAAATAATCAAGAAATATGTTTTTAATTTCTTTTAATATAAAAATGTGAGCAATACCCGTTTCAGATATGAACAAGTTCTTACCTTAAGTTTGGATATCATATTCTTTTCACTATCATCTGAAACAGACTTATTCAACAATAATCGTTTGGCTAAGTGTTGTTTATAGTACCGTTCAAATACATCCTTTTCTTGTAAGAAACGGAATAAAACCATAGTTTTATCTAGGATCCCTTCAATCTCCTGCTCTGTCATCTAAAACCAAATATATTCATGTATCGAAAGTCATACGATATGTAACAATGCAATTATACACATAATACTAACTCCTTTAACGCCTTTCTTCAATTTGTCGTCGATAAATAGCGACAGATATTCCGGGCTTTTAGGATTCAAGTTAAGGAAGTATTCAAAATCCGATGCTATCATCTGTTTATAATTCTTGTCATTATTGAAAGAATAATGTAGAAAATGATCAAAGCGATCTTTTAGATCTAACAAGTTTTGGACGTAAAGAACGGCATTTGTGGTTGATTCATGCTCTTCTTGCACTAATGCGCGGCCCTGCTCTCTGAGGAACTGAGATACACAGTCGCACACAGTACGCAATCCGTCTGATACTCTCGAAAATAGTTTATACATACAACCAAGATCTTCCGTTTTCTGATTTTTGAGCATGTGTACTACACCACTGTTTTCCATCTGTCAAACACAAGAGATATTAAGATATATAACACATAATATATATTATGTGCTAAATGTGATTATATAACACATGACATATATTTAAGTTTAATCGTCCATTAATACAGGGGATCGATCATGTATCTTTTCCCCTAGGACGTGAAAAGTGAAAAGTTTATCTCTTTCTATTCAACACTAATAGAAAAAGATAGTTACATGAAACTTTTCACTTTTCACGTTTCCGCTCTAAGAAAAAAGTTACATGATCGCTAGCCAGATCGTAAATAAACACACCTCAACAATGGTTTTCATGTGTATTTTGATTAACTCTTCTTCTACAACTTCTACTATCCGTGATTCAGTTGATTCATCTAAATAATGTTTTGCCCTTTCAGATTCTTCGCAGATTCTAGCTTCAACCTTTTTTATATATACCGATGCACTATTTTCTGCCAGAAATTTTTGAGATTCCATCTGAAGAAAATTTTGCAGGTTACATATGCGCATGTAAGACTATTGTACGTATCTCATTATTGGACACTCACTCTATAAAACTCAGCACTTTGTTGTAAAAAAGGCCTTTCAAAATCTTCCTCATAAACTTGGCGATTGTTAATTCCAAGTAACATTAACATTTGGCAGGCATTTTTTATAGCGCTACGATCTACAACTTCTCCTCTTCTTTCCCTCGCGACCATACCTAATAATGTTTCTCGTAAATGGTCTCTAACACATCCATATCTGACCACCTAAAAAATTAATAAGAAACTCGTCAATATTAAACATACTTAACAATCATTTTATATAAATCAACAGCAACTTAACGTTGCAAAATCAACAACTATTTTATTACAATAAAACTTTGTGACTTCTAAATTCTTTATAAGACAATGCAAGTTAAAAATGAAAATTACCTGATCTCGAAAAATAATTAATCCAAGATTATACACATTGTCTACATCATTCTGTTGAACATATACTCTATCCATGTACATCAAGATATCCCTGATCATCACCATTGACGTTTGATGATCGTTCCATGCTAGATTTAAAGTTTGTAGGAAGTTATTATGCAAGGAACGAAGAACATCCTCTCGCACTTTGTTTTCAAGGTGTTGCGTTACAACTTCCTTCAGTCCCGTGTACAATCGTTCGCCATACTTGTGAAGAACCATCGTGTAAGCATTGCGATAAAGTTCTTCGAAACTGAGGCCAGAGTTATTTTTCTTCTGTATCTCTTGAATAGCACTCTTCAATAAGGTCCAGATGCTTTCTACATACTTCTCATCCATAGTTGTCTGTGAAAACAGAGTGTTTATGGTAGTTAATTGGCTATTGACTAAATATAAACTCATGTTTCTATTTATCTTAATTTAAGAGAAATCATAAATGTCTACGATAATTTGTAATATTAATATAATACAATTGCAAATGTAAAATACATTAAATAACGCAGATACAATTCATAAAAGCTCATAAAAAATGTTAACTTATGCTTGCTGCATAAGCATAGTAAAGATATTACAGGTAATAATTCTCACAAGAGTGTTACGAATTATGAGAGGATTGTTTTTGTGTGTTAACCCTGACGTTGGAATTATGTCAATCATTCTGCCGCCTTGCTGAAGATCATAGTCTTCATTTTCATAATCCATGATTCTATCTCTTTTATGGTTCTGTTTTCTATTCCTGTATAGATGTGTTTTGTATAGATTGCTTGTATGTTTTGCTTTGTCATAACCTTGATTATGAAAATGTATATCCACAAATAAGTCTTTGTTAGAATTAGAGAGAGAAAATTATATACGTTTCTTTATTTAACATTTCATATGACATTTATCAAACATATTTTTATGTTATATGGTATATTATGTGAACATAGTTTGTGTCACATAGACATTATTAAACAATGTAAACAAGTCTAACCTATTAATAAAATAAAATTTAATAAAATTATAACATATACAGACTTGCTATTAAATTCGAAGCAAGATAAGATTTTTTAGATTAAATTAATATTAAATTTATCAATATTAATTTATAAATCAATATTATGTTTATTTGTCATATTCTCATTATGAAAGAACCTCATTTACAGAGAGAAGCTTTTTAATTATACATCATAATAGAATTAAATATATTATAAAAATAAATTCAACTCTGAGGTGTGAACATTTACAAAAAATGAGAAAAAGCAAGTTGAAAAATAAATCTATGACATTTTTCTATACATAACATTATGTATAGAAATTTACAAGCAAAATTTTTGTGCAAAGTACAGATTCTTATTAAAATCATGCGTGCCAATCTTTTCATAAATTACTGGTAACATCATTTTACCTTATTACGTTATTCGGTACTAAAAAGCACGGTATTTCTAGCATTGTAAATTTTACAGACAGTAAAATATGACATTAAAAATTTAGCATGGTTATATAGCTGCACTTTATTAACAACTGTCTTTTACACTACTATGGTAACCATTGTCGATGACCTCTTCTCATAGTTCAAGCACGAACAATGCTTAAAACTGTACCTTTAGTGAACACAACATAATATTTATCCAATTCAAATATTAATGCTGCTAAGGGCCGATATCACCAGTCTTCGATTAACGTGATCCTCCGATTAAACTCACTCTTCGTCTCTTTCTAGGGGGACAGTTAGAAAGAGATGCAGAGTGAGTTTAATCGAAGGATTACGTTAATCGGAGACTGTGATATCGGCCCTAAGTAATACATTAGGCTACAAAGATACACAATACACAATTGGAAAAATAGTTAAACGAAAACATTAAGCGTGAGAAAAATATGATATATGTAAAATTTAAAATTTATAAAATAAATATATTATTGAATATAGTTTTTTATTTTGCACTAAGGTTTGACATCCATTTCTATCAATGCAGCTTAACTTTAATCTCAGTTTAACTTGCTTTTTATCTTTTTTTTTAATTCGTAGAACTAGAAAAAGGATAGCAAGTTAAACCAAAATCCAAGTTAATCTATGTTGGCAGAAATAGACATAAATCACAAGAATGTCAGTTTTATAAACTTATACGTGACATTGATTGCCATTATCTGGTTAGTTGATTCATAAAAAAGTAAACCGCATATATCAATTTATACATCTATATAGCATTAAATAAATATTTATTTATTTCAGGTGTTAACACATTTTTAATTATTTTTAACCAATTGATTCCATTTAATAAAAAACAAGGGGATCAAAATGACCCTTTGATATTTAACTTAATTACTCATTTTTAAAACATCTTAATTTCTGAAATTTTCCCAAACTTTTATCGAAATTACATAGATGATTGATTTCATTAATTTGTTTTCTCTTTTCTTCTCCAAGATTTCTTTGGTTTTTGGTAGAAATAAATACGGATTGATCTCTGATAGTTCTAGTGTTAAACAAAGATGACAGATTCCAACATCATCAGTCTCCCGGTCGATTATACATCATTGTAATCATATTTTTTTCTTGCGTATATCAAGGGGAAGGGAAGAGAGAGAGAGAGAGAGAGAGA